GGAAGCAGCCGGGAGCAGCAGCAGCAGCCCGGCCCTGCGCGCGGGAGCCTGCCGGAGACGAGCCCGTGCCCCAGGAGGACGGGAAGCTGTGGAGCTCATCCGCTGGGCCGTGCCGAGCCAGCAGYCTAGTTTATTCGGCGAGGAGCAGCTGCAGCACCTGGAGCAGAGGTGCGGCGCGTTGGGGCCTCATCCGGGCAGATCCCGGAGCCCGGCAGAGGCCGCGCAGGCGGCGAGCAGCAGTGCCGCGCAGCGGGACCCGCCGCGCTCGGCGGCCACGGGCGCGCCGTGGGACTCGTGCAGCGACGGGCTCTCGGCAAGGTCCTCAAGCCTCTTCAGGGAGCCCGGGAATAGTCTTTGAGGAGAGGGGAAGCAAAAGGTCTGAGCGGCTGAGAAGGGAGAGAAACGAGGGGGAGCAGAGGGAGGTCTCCTACAAAAATTTGCCAGAGAGAGGCTTTAATAATGCCATTCATCTCTCTGCCAAAAGGGTCACGTGAAGGTAGTGGAAACGAACTTGGGGAAGATGAATTAAAATGTACACGCATTAGAGTGACCTAAGGAATATCTAAATGCAGCCCCATTTGTGTTTTGTGCTGCCGTGTGCCTGGCTGGGCTGCGCTGCTGCGGTACCGGGCTGCGCGCCAGSAGCGCGGGCACAGGGGCTGCCTGCATCTGGGCACATCTGGAAGAGCAAAGGGGAGCATGCCGGGGGCATGCGSCCGGCCCCTCTGCAGGCACCAGCTGTGCAGGAGGCGCCAGCCCTGCTCCTTCCCTCTCCTCCCCTCCAGCAGAAGCCCCAGCCACCCTGGAGATCTCCTCAGCTGGCCTCCGATAATTCTCCCCCCAGCTTGTGCTTTATGTCCTCTGCAGCCTTGCAGGAGCTTCGCAACACTTTGCTTCCTTCCTACAGGATGTGCTTTATGGGGCTTTAATTATTATTGTTTATTAKTATTGTGTTTTAATCGTCTGCTCAGGTCCCTCTGTGCCCTTGGGCGAGCAACTTATAAAAAACATTATTTTTATTATTGCTCCTGCAGGGCTCTCGCCTGCCCTTGCCCCCATTCCCTCTGGAGCAGGCGGATGGGGCTGCATTTCCCTCACCCCAGGCACGGGGCCTTCCTCTGCCGAGGAGGAGGAGGAGGAGGAGGAGGAGGAGGAGGAGGAGGAGGGGAGCGCTGGCGTGCTCGCCGAGCTGTCCACATTGGGGTAGGGGAGCGGCTGTGCCACTGCAGCTACAAATGGCTTTTTGATGAAAACAAAAGCATTCATTTCTAAAGCCCAAACTGTTTCATTAAACATGTTTGGGCTTTGTTTGTTTGTGTCAGAAGTGACGGGTTTGTGCAGGTTTGAAAATGGAAACTTTTAAGTGTTCTATCTTGGGCTTTCAGTGAAAAAGCAAATCCTTTTCAAAGGCGATATGGAAGAATAAGAACAATTAAAAATTTATTTCCCAGGAGGAAAAAGAAGTGATAAGAACTATTGAAACAGAAGTTCCTGTGTATATTTGCAGGCGAGCTCCTCTCGCCTTTAAAGGCAGGCGCTGGCACCTGGTGTGAGCGGAGGAGCGCCGGGTCCCGCGGTGCCCTTTGCGGCGGCGCGGCGCGGCACAGGGGGCTGCCGGGCAGCGGCGGCGCTTCGCTAGCGCCTGACATTTGAGGCGATCTGCCCTTTTCCCAAGGCAACCTCTTCAGAAGCGTTTTCTCGAGCGATAGAGATCATCAGGCTGAAGCGCCCGCTCCTCTCGACTCAATGGGCTCCTTTGCACGGGCGCGCGCGGGGCCGCCGGAGCTGCCCCGTCRCTGCGGGAAGGGCGCGCGCGCTCGCACAAAGCGAGCACGGCAGAACSCGCGCTCGCAGAGCGCAGGGGAGGAGAAGCCGTGCCCAAAGGCAGCGCGCGAGGCTGCCGAGGAGACGGAGGCGGAAAGAAGGAGCCCGTGCGGGCATGTGCCCGCRCGAGGGAAGGGGAGCCGTGGCTCCGTGCACAGGGCTGCCCCGCGCCTTGGTCCTGTGCTATGTGCTGGGAAGCTGGCAGTGCTTCGGAGCGGCGCACACCCTCCGSGCACAGGGACGCGGGTGAACGCCGGAGCAGGCGGCGGCGAGGCCAGGGCACCCCGGTCCTGCTAACAAAGCCACGCTCCCAGAACAAGGCCAAACCCACCAGGCCTCTCCAAAGCGAAAGCAGCTGGCCCAGCTAATTAAATGTTAAAAACTGCAGCAAGCGGAGCGGAGCAGAAAACAAACAGGCGCTGCAGCCAGGCTGCCAGCGCTGGAGAGGAAACCATCTCGGCGTTCCCCTCTCTCGCCCATGTGTGTTTGCAGAGCCGCTGGCAGCGGCTCGGGCCGCGCTCGCTGTGTGCGCGCGAGGAGCGCGTGGCCCTTTGCAGCGGGACGCCAGGGYGGGTATCTGCTGGCCGGGGCTTTGCGAATCGCCGCTTTGCAGAGGGGAAATAAGAGGCATCCGTTGGTGCTAGCACTGGTAAAGATTTTCTATAAAGCGCCCCCGTTTCCAGTACAGCTCAATGGATTTCATTGCCACAAACTGCCAGGGCCGAGAAGCTCAGCGGAGGAAAATATCATATGCAGTGATTCACAAACACACAAAAATACCTTTGCCGGCTCGTCTATTCYTCCAGCACACAACAAACACCTTGTGAGTCATTCGCTAATCTGTGGAAGCATTTGGAAAGGAGAGCGGGATGGGAGCATTACTCATTAAGGGCTCGGATGAGGCCGTGTCTCCGGCTAGCTCCGCAGCGCTAACGTGCCGAGAAAGGCTCGAGCACGCTTTGGGGCCGCCTCGGTCACAAGGCAGCTCAAGGAGCCACCACCCTKTCCTCCGCTGAGCCGGTCTGTGCTCCGCGCCGAGAGAGAAAAAGCTGAATTCTTTGCTGTTCCGTTGCATTAATCAGATATCTGCACGTAGGTGGAGGAAAGAAAGGCGGGTGTCTCTTGGCAGGCACATTTACCTTCAGGGGTCGCAGCTCTTCCTCCAGACACGGAGGTGGYGGCAACGCTTGGGCGAGAAGCGAGCGGGACGAGGACATGCACGGCGCGGCTGCCAGCTCGGTGCCCTGCAGCTGGCAACTGTAAAAACCGCCTGTTGGAMAGAGCCAGCAGAATGATTTGCAATCAGGTACGGTGCTTTTTACCGCCATTAGCTGCCACCCCAGARGAGCTGTTAATGGAAAGCCACGTTAGCTGTCCCCGTGGCTGTCACGCGGCGCGACAGCGCCGAGCGGCCGTGGCTGCKCGCCTGCGGACTAATTAGCAGGTTGCAGGAGGAAGGAGCAAACTCATCTGCCACTGGAGAGCGGGTTTGTCGCAGAGGTGAAGCCGACGCTCGCAGAGCTCGGGGGAGGCGCCGGGGATGTCGCGGAGCGCGCCGCGAGGCTGCGCCTGTCACCGGCCCCGGCGCGCGCCGCCCGGCGCCTGCCTCACTGCTCCTCCTGTCAGAGAACCCTTACGGTTGGAAAGGACCTTCAGGATCACCCAGTCCAACCGCAAGTCCTTCAGCATCGCGCCTGCTAAGCCATGTCCCTAAGCGCCTCTGCGGAGAGCACAGCAGCTTGCGGGCAAAGAACCAAAATTCACAGCATAAATTACATGTGCCGAAGGATTTGCCCAGCTTTGCCGATTATCTGCAGTTAAAAAGTTGGAGGGAGAGCAGCTTCTGCGCRCGTAAACAGCAGACGGGGCCCGTCAGTCACCGGCGCTTGCCTGGGCAGGGGGACAAGAGGCAGGCCTGGAGGCAGCGCGCGCTAGCCGGATCGAGGCCAGTTTGAGGCTCTCTCTAGGCTCTCGCAGAGCACAGGGGGGCACAGCCCTGTCACCGGAGCCYGGCAGTCCCGGCGGAGCCGGGGAGACCCACGGAGGGTCATTTACTGGAGCACCATTCATTGGGCACGACGATAAATCACAACGTGATGACTTCCTCTGCATCAATGGAGCTCAACTGGCTTGGGGAAAYGGTTTGATTTAAGAAGAATAGGCCTAATTTTGGAAGTGCTTCACACCCATCAATCTAAGTGAAATTCATTTATCTGAGGCACAGCTGATATGTCTCCCATTTACATAGTATTAAGTGCCTGGCACTCCTTGGCATATTGAAGCTCACAGCAGGAGGAGAGGAGAGCGTTGCTAGCCCCGTTTCGCAGATGATAGGGAAGGAAACGCGCAGAACGATGCGAGGAGGCGGCCGGCATGCCCAGAGCCGGCGGCAGCGGGGCCGGGGGCTCCGCGGCTCCCCAGGGGCCGCCCGGTCCCGCACGGGGAGCGGAGCGCTCCGAGGGGAGCGGGTGCCGCCCGGAGCCGGCAGCGCGCCCAGCCCCGGCCCGGTGCTGCCGGCCACCCGATGGATGCTGCGGCACTCGGTGGGGAATGGGACGGGTAATGGTTTGTCACTCAGTGCAAAGTGCTGCTGTTTCATCGCTTWACGTTGCCCCGGTGCTGCCTGCCCGCTCTATGCACCGAGTTATGGCGTAGYCGGAGGCTGACGGCGGCCGGGGCTCCGGCGTGCGCCCGGGGCRGCTCTGCCCACGTCCTTGGCAGCGCACAACGCTGCTCATCAGCGTCCCTCCCTGCGCTGGATGGGGAGGCAGCAGAGGGGCACCGGGAGGTGGCCAGGCCGGGGACACCAGCAGCCGGGGTGCCGAGYGGAGCCGCAGAGCGCTCTGGCTGCTGCACCCCGGCAGGCGCGGCCGTGCGGGCGGCCCTGTGCGGGGCGGCACGGGGAAAGGACACCGTGACGTCCCCGAGGGGTTCCAGCACTGCTGCGGAGCCGCCGTGCCGGGGCAGCGCAGGTGCTGCGCCCACACACCTGCACCCCGTTGGCCCWAGGGCTTATAGGCACCACCGCGGCAAGGGCTGCCTGCCTAGGGCTGCGATGTGGAGCGATGTGGAGCTCCTGGGCAAGGTACTGGAGCCTCCTAGATGCCGCAGGAGCGAGGAAAGTTCCATAGAGAGATGGGAGCATCTCCTTTGCAGCCATGRGAAGCAAGATCCGGAAAGCCCTGGGGCCTCTCCAGCGAGGATCCCGGCACCAGGTGCGGAAGCGGCTGTGGTGCTCGGGGGGGCCGGGGCTGCTCCTGGTTGCTCTGCACCCTGCGTGCTGTGGGGGGCCTGGGCCAGGAGGTGCGTGGGAGGCCCAGTACGTGGGAGCACGGAGGAGCTGCTGCTGCTGCYGCCGCCTCGAAGCGGAAATTGCAGAGCGGTAATCACTTAAACCCCCCAAGAAATCCAGGATTGCCAGGGTCTTCAAGAGCTGTTTTAATTATTACTCCGGTGGGATTGTCTCAGAAATTATATTTTCCCTGGAAACAGCGGCGGTAACTGTTATCGCTTCGCTCTGTAGCCCGGGCCATTTGTTAGCTGCCAATGAGCGGCTCAGCGCTGCGAAGGGCGGCTGCCCCCGGGGCCGGAGACTGCTGAGCGCTGYGCTACGTGCGGCGGGTGCCGGGCGCGGGGCAGAGCCGCGGGCAAGGGGCCCTGGACGGGCGGCGGGCGCGCTCCCGCGGGCGCCGCGCGGCCCCGTGGAGTGCTGATGGAGTGATTTAGAATCATAAATAACATTATCAAAGGGGCTCTGCTGGGCAAACAGAGGCGGTGTATAAATAGCCGGCGCGCGGCATTGATCGCTCGTAGCTGCCTGATGAATTATTCTGTTTCAGGGCCACGGAAGCGCGGGCGCGCGCTGGCGAGGCGCGCGCCCCGGCGAGGCTGTCCCGGCGGCAGAGCGTGGGCAGCAGCGTGCCCGGGTAACGGGCAGAGCGCTTTGCTCTCGGGTCCCGCGAGCTTCGCGCGCTTCCCTGCTGCCAGCACGCGCGCCGCTCGCTTCCCTGCCTTCCCAGGCCCTTGGTGCGAGCCGCTCGCCCRCTAATCCTGCACGGTGGTGGCTGAAAGGCCAGGGTGCAGCCAGCAAGGTGCTGGTGGCCCAGGGGACAATTATTACAATTATTGGCATGTGAAGGAGTGGAGCAGCATTAAGAGGCGGCTAATTCTAAAATACAGTATGCAGGTAGCCGCTCTGKTTTCCATGCCTTTTCCTGGAGTTGCTGGTGTTGGAGGTGGAGCGCCGCAGCTCTGGCGAGCTGGAGCTGGTTTTACCCCGCAAGGTGCCATTTCGCTGGGCTTCCCAGCCGGCGTGGAGCCGAGAGGGCCTGAGCTCTGTGACTTCAGAATGCTGCGCTTCCTCAGAAGTGCAAATTACAATGGAATTGGTGCTAAACTCCCTATTAACTACAGAGCCCGGGAAATCTTTAGTGTCCCCAATTGCCTGTCACTTTCCCTATAACACGGCATAATTCTGTCGCTTAAAAAGAGGGCCAGAATTTGACATTTCCGTGGAGTTTCTAATTGAAGCAGTAGTGCCCCGCGCTGGCCTAGCAGGTGGGACCAGGGCAGCCCCCGGGGCGCGTGCCGGGCCGGGGTGTTCCCCGCGCGCGGGTTGCGGGCGCCGTGGGGCGGCGCGGGGCGCGCCGGGCCGGGGTGTTCCCCGCGCGCGGGTTGCGGGCGCCGTGGGGCGGCGCGGGGCGCGGGAGGGCTGCACCACGTGCCCCGTGCCCGCGCTGCCTCCCCCGCTCCCTCCGGGCCCCAGCAGCCCTTCAGCAGGTTCCAAGCAGCACAGTTTTGCTTGAAATTTTCCGCTTGGCTTGTGCATTAGTTGGGAATGAAATATTTAGAGAACAGAATATAGTAATAAAGCCAGAACACATTTTCTGCTGGTATATTTTATTTATTTTGTTTAATAATGAGGTGCTGTGTCTCTCCATCCACCCGCCTTGGTATCAGCGGCTTCCTGCTCTTCCCCTTCCCTTTGGAGGCAGGAGATAATATCCCGCTGCTAAAAAAATCATCAGGTTGGGCTTGTCTGACAAGTCCCGGGTCSTGGGCTCTCCTGCTGCTAGCGAGCGAGCGTTCAAAGGAGCTTCCCAGTGCTCAGAGATGGGGAGGAGGCGCCCAGCCTCGGAGCGGATGAGTCCCTGGGTTTAACCCTTCACGAGGCACCGGGGGCTGCCCACATCTGGAGCACATCTGGGGGATGAGGGTGTCGGAAGCCTTGGGGACCTATAGGTCCTCAGTGCGCACGYGAGGAAGACGGAAGGACAAGCTGCTTGGAGAAAGTGCATGGCTTTGCTGGCRTTCTGCACGGATTCGGGTCCTCCTGGCCCTTCGTCCCGCAGTAGGTGCAGGCGAAAAACGGCTCCTCCGTCCGGAGGAAGTTTTGAGACTTGGAGGCCTTTCTTTTCTGCTCTGTTCTGTTCAGGGGGAAGCGGGGGCTGTAAGAGCACGTTTAAATTTCTCAAATGACTCCAAGGAAATTCATGTCATATACACTAAAGCGTTTCATTTCAATAGCTTCAAAATATTTCTGTGAGATTTTGATCTTTTCTTCAAAACCTGTTTACCGTTTAAAAAAAAAAAAAAAAAAGAAAAAACCGCCGTGCGTATGTGTGCTAAAAGAGAGCGCTTCTCACAAGCGGCTGTGTGGAAACGCGCATTGTCTGAAAAGCAAATGCAATTTTCCATCAGCAAAGGCATTTTGTGTGCGCCGGGAGCTGCGGCGGCTCCCGGGAAGGCTCCGGGGAGGCAGGCGGCCGCGGTGCCCGTGTGCGGTGGCGGTGCCGGGGSCGCGGGCACCCTGCGGCGCGGGCGATGGGCACCGCGGGCCGGCGCTTCCCTGCCCGTGCGGCGCTGCGTGCGGGACGGCGCCGTGCAGCGTCCTGGCGCGCAGCCAGCGCCGCGGAGCCAGCGGGCTGCGGCGAGCGGCGGCGGCAGCGCTAAGCTCCAGCCCGCGCAGCGCGCGCAAGGGTATTAAAGGATTTGCTCTCCATGACCATAACTCCGAGTTAATGTACATTTGATGTTTAATGTATGAACCGCAGGTGATTTCAAGCTGGCACGGCCTTTTCTAAATAGTGTTTTAATCTTGGCGTTTTTTGGAGTTTTTAAGGCTCAGCTCTGCAGCCTGACAAGCTGCAAGAGGAGGGAAGAAAACAAGGCTAAGCTGGGTGTGAGCATGTGATGTGGGCCCTGGCTTTTGTTCCGGCCTTTATTGAGCTTTTCCCTCTAATCTCTGCATTTTTGATGCAATTTCAGATTAAGGGCCTGGAAGGCGAGGCTGCTGCGGGCGGCTGCGCCGGCGGGAGCGCCGAGGGGCGCCCCGGGCACGCAGAGCCTCCCGGCAGCGCCGCATCCTGGCGCCGTGCGGCCCCAGCGCCACGGGCACCCTGGCGCGGGAGCCGTGGGCATCGCATCCCGCAGCTCCTTAGGAGCAATTGTCCCGCATTTCAGGAGAGGAGGCTCCACAGGCGCTGGGACCAGCCGGGCAGCCCCTCTGCTCACAAGCCGTGCCCCCAAAGTGGCATTTTCGGGCAGTTCCTCCCATGGGCGCCCGCCCGGGGCAGCATCGCAGCGCGCGCTCAGGCTGCCCTGCAGCCCGGCTCCGTGCCGGGTCTCGGCGGCTCCCTCCGGAGCGCGGGGCTGCGGGATCAGGCAGCAAGGCCCTGGGTCCCGGCGCTGCCCTTGGCACTCGTTGTGCTGCGCGTTTAATTGGCTGCGGATTCAAAGGAGACAAATCCTTGCTGCCGCCTTTCATGCAGCCGCCCTTCCGTCCTCGCGGGATCTCAGTGGCAGCACTGATTCCTCGAGGACAATTGCGGCGACATTAGGAGAATTTCCAGCGTCTGAAGCACCATGCTCAGGTGGTTGGAAGGCGCAGGGGCTGCAGGAGGGCCGGGCTCCAAGGGAGCAGGGGCGCACGGCAGCTCCGGAGCTGTCCGTAGCGCCGCAGTGGGTCTGCGAGCGGGCGCCGCGACTCGCGCGCAGCGAGGTGCATCCTGCAGCTCCCCGGCGGCGCCCTCGCCGCCCCCGCAGGGCACCTCTCCCGGGTGGCACGCACGCGCCGTGCTGCCGCCTGCCTTGATCTTGGCATGCCCATGGGGAACACGGGAAGCTGTTTATTCTCCTCCTCTGCGCCGCTCGCCTTTACGTGTCTGCAGCCTGTTYGCGTGTCGTCCCTCGGCGCTCTTCCTCGGGCGGAACAAGCCTCAAATTCTTCCTCTTGCATCGCAGGGCAGCACCTGCCCTGCGTGTTGCTCTGGTGCCCGGCGTGGCGGCAGTGGCTGCGACGAGGGGGGACCCTGGAGCTGCTCGCCCGGGGTCCCAGCACCCCAAGGAAGGGGCTCGGGCTGGCTGAGGTTTTGGGGTGACTCTCAGGAGCGGTTGCCGCGYTCGCCCCGGAGCGGGCGGATGCAGCAGGAGTGCGGCGGCAGGGCCCGCGCTCGAGTGCAAGCGCAGCAACGTTGTGCTCCACTGATTGCACGTTTTTTCTGACTGTTGTGACATTTGCAGGGAGGCTAATTTATTCAAGCATGGAAATCTTTAAAAACTTAATTAAGTTATTTCTGCTATTTTCCTGCTGTATTGTTTCGACTTCACATTTAACTTTTATTCTGGTTAGTGCTTAAAAAAAAAAAAAAAGAGAGAGGGAGAAAAAGCCAGGAGGGGGGAGCCTGTGCAGGGCGAGGAGCCTCGGTGAGAGGCAGAGCAGCCGGTAGCGGCGGCCGCTCTCCCTCCCCGCCGCTGCCGCCACACGCGCGATCTCCCGCTCGGGCGTTTTGCTGAACACGATGTTCTGGAAGGGCACCAGGCACTGCCAGGAAACCTAAAGGCTGCATTAATAAAGTTTCTGTCAGTAAACTCCCTAATTAAGACTCACAGATGGAGCTGTAAGAAATGCTTGTGGTGAAACCCAAGAAGTGTGAAAATTGTCTGCTTCTGGAGGCATGCAGCGAGGCTAAAAAAAAAAAGGGAAGGAAAAAGGGARAACAAGAGCAGCAGCTCTGGAAAGGCAAAGCTGTGTCCTGGGGCGCAGGAGACGGGCAAGGGCAACCCCGGGGTGGCTGCTGCTGGGKGCAGGGAGCGATTCCCTGGCAGCGCCGCCTGCGCCGGGCATCGCGCTCATTACCCCTGGGCGGGCGGGCCAGGCCCTGCGCGCTCCCGCTGCGTTTGGGGCTTTATTTTTAAGGCGTCAATCTCTGCCTCC